AGGAGTCAGGGTTCCCCCACGGGTGGCAGAGCTGCAAGGCCCAAGATGGTGGGGATTATACTCCTTGGGACCAGGTGTGGGTCCTGTTCCTCCATGTATGTGGTCAGGGCATCCATACCCATGTCAGGAAAAGGTAGGGTTAAGGGGCCACCACTAAAAGATTTTTAAGAAAGGTTGTTCCAGTAGTGACTCTTCTGCTATCCTACTTGCTATGCCTTGTAATTTACAGGGTGCCCTTCATTTATGTTTGGAGGGGTTTGGGGAAGCAATGTAATTTGGGCTCCAGTGTCAATGAGAGCATCCCAGTGGATAATTAGAGAAGTGAACAGGTGATTGTCCCCAAGAGGAGGGACAAGCTCGGGGAACTGCAGGGTCCCTAGGACAGGGGCCTTGGTGGCTGTCACTCTCACAGATCAGGGTGTGGGATCCTGGGTTCTGCTGCTGGGGCGGGAACATTCTGAGAGGTGACAGCATCATCCTTTGGGATGGGACCACAGTCTCCTGAAGAGCCTGCAGCACCTGAACAAAGGCTTCTAATTTGTGTTCAGCTGTCCCGAGATTAAGTCATCAGGGACCCTGACCTCTGGAGCTGCCAGTATGGAGAGCTTGTTGCTCATCTTGTGAGGGAGGCCGAGCTTCCTTCTGTCTCTGTGGGCTCGGAGGCTTGGAGGGGTCTCTTTCTCTGTAAACAAAGCTCGGAACCAGCTCCAAAGACCCCTAAGAGCCAATCAGTGCCCTTCTCCCTCTTCTTTTGAACGAATTTTTCTTAAAAATCTTGCATTTCTGTCATGGTATAGTTAGGTGTCTCTGTTCCTCATTCACACTGGCCATCGTTGGATGTTTTGGTATGATGGATTGTAACAGGGAATGCCTGGGACAGAGGACGCCTCTTCCCTAACTCCTATGCTGCCACCTCCCATTCTAAGGGGTCCCAGTCAACTGCTGAGGGTCAGGGTCCACCTCCACCTCCACTGGTGCAACATTAGCAGATGTATTGGGGCAAGCTCCAGGCCCCGAGAACATAGTAGCCTTCACAACTTGGCATGTAGATATGCCACTGTGCTCCATAACGCCCAAGCCATGGGGGTCTCACAGGCTTCTAGTAGTTTTTTAACATCCTCTGGGGACGTGGGAGGAGCCGGTACCAAGCGCTTGGGGCCCCACTTTCAGCAGCATGTGATGCGCTTGCCTTGCAGCATTTTGCCTCCCGGGTGCCACGATGGCCCTGATAGTGCTGCCTCCTCAGGGGTTAAGGCCGGCTCCCCAGGCTCAGCACCCGGTCCTGACCCGACACAGTGGGCCCAGCAGCCGGCCTGCCCCTCCGGCTCCAGGGCCCTGGGGAGCTCTCCTTGGCTCCCAGTACATCATAGCCTGTCCCCCAGCCCTGTCCCTGCGTGGAGGAAAGAGTCAGAGCCTGACCGTCCAGGTTAGCTCACCTTGGCCCAGTGCCCAGACTTGCATATGTGGTGGTCGCCAATCACCTCCACACCTGACCCCGAGTGGGGTCTCCTTTGGAGGATAATGGGAGACAGAGCTGCTTCAGACTGGGGCCTGCTGGCTCGTCTCTGCAGTGGAGTCTGACCTTTTACAGCACCAGCAGTTTAGGGTGGGAATTCTCAGCAGAGCCTGGCGTCACCACACGCAACAGTGCAGCGCAGCGGCACTGACTGCCGGCCAGCAGTGGATCCTCCCAGGGAGACTGAGCGGTCTGGAGGGGGAAGAGAGCCACCCGCAGCTCCAAGGCATCGGATGGGCGTACAGACTGCGCCCACGATTCCATCCTCCTCTTCAACTGTATTCAGCAGCTGGAGCTGCTGTACTGAATTAAGAACATGCGAATTATGACCTGCCGTGTGAGGGGGCACCAACCACCCTTACTGGTTGGCAGGTAGCTCCCTGGGCATCCGAGCTCCCACTCTGGGGAAGTGGAGCCCCGGGGGTCATTCTGATGCAAGGTGCAGTTTCAGTACGCCCACGTAAAGGAAGTAGAGTCTCAGGATTTACTCATGGATCCTAGAGGGGGCCAGGGCACAGTGAGGCGGGAGAGTGCCGTCCTGCATCCCAGGCCACCAGCCAGCAGGAGATGGAGAGCGGGACAGCAAGCACCTAGGACTTACAAGGTTGCTGGAGTAGAGGTCACTAACTTTTTGCGGGCTTAACTCTTGAGTGTTTATTTTAAAAGGTTCCCCGGGAGAAGCAGAGCAGGCACTTAAATGGTGGGAATCCTAAACTCAAGTTCTTTCTTTTTTAATAAATTTATTTATTTATTTATTTACTTTTAGCTGCGTTAGGTCTTTGTTGCTGCGCACGGGCTTTCTCTAGTTGTGGTGAGCGGGGGCTGCTCCTCACTGAGGTGCCTGAGCCTCTCACTGCGGCAGCCTCTCCTGCTGCGGAGCACGGGCTCTAGGTGCGCAGGCTTCAGTAGCTGTGGCTTGCAGGCTCTAGAGCACAGGCTCAGTAGTTATGGCTCACAGGCTCTAGAGTGCAGGCTCAGTACTTGTGGCGCACAGGCTTAGTTGCTCCGCAGAATGTGGGATCTTCCCGGACCAGGGCTCGAACCTGCGTCCCCTGCATTGGCAGGCTGACTCCCAACCACTGCACCACCAGGGAAGTCCCTAAACTCAAGTTCTTATCTAAATATCCAGACCCTGGGTGTGAGCAGGGGTATCACACTGTGAAACGCACAGGCAGCAACTCAGAAATAAGTGGTTGTTTTTTCAGAGAAACAAAAGTTGTTTTTCTCATCACACCCCGCTGCCTCCCCACCCAACCTCCACTAATTAGTGTTTATTTTTCTTTCTCTCTCTTTCTGATCACACACTTGCTGTTGCCAGCGGTGGCGCTGCCTGTCCTGGAGCCTGTCCCCCATCCCTTCATACCCACCCCCAATAGTGATGTTGCTATTACTCCTGGCATGACAGCCTCATGCCACTGGGTCATCTTTGGCCTTCAGCCAGTAAGATATTAAGATTTCAGATCAAAGAGCAATAAGCACATAGAAAAGCTGCTAAGGGTCTCTGAGGAATGTGAATGGGGAGGGCCGATGGAGAGGGAGGTGAACTTCGGGTGCCTTGGGCATCAGGGATTGTAAGTGATGGACACCAGAGGCCCTGTCTACTGAGGAGAAAGATATAAGGCCTGTTTCTTAATTTGCTGGCGCATGTGTATTCAAGATGAAAATTAAACTGCAAATGATACTGGAGAAAACTGCTGACAATAATGTTGGTTACAGCTGTTGAAGCTATAAAGCTGGAAAAAGGCAAAAAAATTGGTTTAAAAGTGCATAAGGAATACCAACTTCAGTTCCTTATATGAACGGCTTATTATTTAGCCTAATTACTATCATTTTAGGAATTATGCATACCATTAAATGCATCAGATTTATTTGTGTGAATTTTGTCTTATTACAGTGCTAGAGTCTGTTTTGTCAGCTGAGTCATGGTAGTCTGTACTCACATTGACTGATGGATCTTACATTTGATCTATCCTTTCTGTGTAAGTTCCTAGGTTACTCTTTAGATAAATCTGACCTTTCTAAGATCAGCTACTTTGCATATCTTATCACACTAAAGGATGGGTATTTGGTTATAAAAGACAGCAAACATTGTCAGGAGAACAGGCAGACATTAGAAGATCGCAGATTTTTCCCTAGCTTACTCTGTGGAACCTAGGCATTTACATTTTGAAATACTCTCTAGTATGCCTAAGTGCTTAGTGGAAGCGACTGACAGACATTCCTTCCTACTTAGGATGAAGAGTGGGGATGGTAAGACGAGTGGCTGTGAAACCTTATAGAATATAGAATAGCAGGAAGAGAGGAAAGGAAAGAGGCTCCCTCGAAGAGGAACTGAGTGTTTTACAGTCATCCCTCAGTATCCAAGGGGGATTGGTTCAAGGACCCCCAGGGTACCAAAATCTGAGGATGCTCAAATCCCTTTCAGTCAGCCCTCCATGTGTGGGCTCTGCATCCACAGATTTCAACCAACCTTGTGGATATGGAGGGCTGACTGTATGTGTGGAATCATGGCCACTGAGCTCAGAAGACTTGAAATGGGAAACCTCAATAGTTGTTGGTTTGTATTTCATGAGACAAGGAGGTGAAAGAACTTAGTTTTGTTAGTCCTTAGTTCTCTTAATTCTTAGTTGGTTTTGATTGAGGTAATGGAAATGGTTTTCCATCCAAGAGTCATTCCTGTTTCCATGGTATACATTAGAAAAACTGTTAGTAAAAACATTTCTAGGAATATCATATATTTGTTAATTTGGAGAGTGAGTACTTAGTAGACCAGGAGCATCTTAGAAGTTTATAGTTTTTCAGTTTTGCATGTCAAGGGGATGCATGGTAGGTGCTCACAATAAATTTGTTGAATTGTGTTTGTGAATTCTCTCTCTGAAGAAATGTCAGTAAAGTAGATGACAGTAATAGTAGCTAAATTTACTGAATGTGTACCTTTGTGCCTGGCATTGTTTCATCTAATGGATACAACCACAGCGGGAGGCAGGTATTACCATCTCTTTTTACAGATAAGGAAACTGAGGCACAGAGAAGTTAGATAATTTCCCCAGTACACAGATGCTAAGATTGAGCTCCCCGTCAAATTTAACTGCTTAATTAACTCTTACGTACTGTGTTGTTCATTGTCTCCTGTGTTGATTATGTTGAAATTAAAAACTAGTTTTTAAATACTTGAATAAATTGGAATGATAAGCTACATTGTAATGACATGCAAACATTTCCCAAAGAATATTATAATATTCACCATATTACTCAAAAGCAAAAAGTTTAAGTGCTTTGATTTTCTTTGGCTGATTTACCAAAGATAGTAGGATGACCATATAATTTATCATCCAAACTAAAACTGAAAGGTGATATTAACAATTATGTGGTGATAACAGGAATAAATGGTACTGTCCCAGCAACTACATTATGCCATCACCCTACTGATTGTTGTTTGTCTGACTTCGTATTAAAACAATTCTTCACATTTTTGACCTTTTAGGGGGATTCCTCAATGTCAATGTAAGTGAAGTCAGTTTTGATGAAATTCATCACCTCTTCTCCAAGGATTTAGATATTGAGCCAGGAGGTCACTGGAGGCCTAAAGACTGTAAACCCAGGTGGAAGGTGAGGTCCATTTTTTCATAAGTAGTGTGACTATTACTATGCATTTGAGGAAAAGTGTGTTTGATTCAGAATATATAGTCAAATCCCTTTGTCCTGATAAATTTAAGACATCAAAATGCTTGTGTTTAATGTGTAAGTATTCACAGTCCAAATGTGAGTTAATCGTGTTACCTGTGAAGCTGAACGGCACCTGTGCGTATACAGATACATACTCCTGTGTTCAGTCTCTTGGAGATCCTGGTGATAAGTACCTCGCTTGAGATTGGCTTGGAAAACAGATGATTTTTCCCTGTTCTGTTTGGAAGACAGGCTGTGATTTCTTTGCTTGCCGCTGCTGTCCCTAGTGGTTACTGACACCTACAGGCATAGCCCCACCAAGGCCTGGAAACAGTGGTTTCCAGTCGGGCCCAGCATTGGGGTTCCTGAGTCGCAGCATTCTAAAGACGCTGCTCGGCGGTCACTGCAGGACACAAAAAGAAGAACTTCGGGCTCTTCTTTGCCTCTGTTTCAGAAGGCAGAGCACAGGCTTTTAATCTTTTTGATATATCAGAATCCTCCTTTTAATGTTTTGTTTGAAAAACTATAAGGAAGTGGGCCTGCCCCTGCTGCTTAAAAAAAATTGAAAACCATGGTTTAAATCAGAGTTGTTCTCAGTACTGTGAAATTGGTTAATAAGCACGTGTTCATGTAATGTTATGTTTGAATAGGAAGCAGCATTTATGTAGTTCAAGTAAAAACTACATATAATTAAATCAGATATTACATCCTGAAGGATTGTGCTGTAGCCTGAATCTGGAAACAGTTTTCAGTTCCTCTTTTAAATATCAGTATTTTGCCAAAATGTTTTGTCTTTTGGTACCAAAAAAAGTCACTCCTGGGAAGGAGAATTGTATGCTGTTAAGCTTATGATAAAAGCCCTCTGACTTAAATGGCCTTGAACTCTTTGTGTTTGGGGATGTTGGGGATGTGTATTATTTACGTCTGCATCCCTAACGTAGAGCTTACCCTCTCTTGTATAAAGGGGAAGCGCTAAACCCAGTTTTGTTGAGTTGAGTTTATGAGACAGATACATGTCTTGTTGTAAATTGTTAAATAAATGTTTGGGTTTTTTCCCCTCAAACAAGTTGTAAAGCTGCTGAAATGGATTCCAGTACAGATTTTGGCAACACATTCTATATTGCAGTTGTTTTATACTATTTCCCAGATCAGATTCAGATAATAAATGAATCTTTTCCTATTTCATGATTGAGTTTCCTCACATTTGTATATAAAATGTGGCCCAATTTACATAATGTTACTTTAAAAAATGTCCTGGGCAAAATAAATTCTTTTTCTTACTTGGGTGATGAGTATGTACGTTGAACGCTAACAGAAGAAAAAGCATACTCAATCACAAAGGCTGTGGGGTAGAATGGAGGTTGGTTCTCAGATGTATATTAATACACGTGATGTATACCTCTCACGTGTGCACTGTGTGGTATAGCAGTAGGATAAGTTGGGATCAGGAAAATTAAGTCTTCTTGTCCTTTCTTCAGTGGTCTGTATCAGATGTTGGATTTTAAATTTTAGCGTTTGTTTTCGTCTCATATTCTAGAGGAGAGATATATCACACATAAGTAGTTTCTACTTACAGATTTTAGTAGACTGTAAACTCCAGTGAATCGGTAGGTAACAGTATTGAAAGTGAAGTTTCAAGAGCCAGCTAATTCAGGGATCTAAAAATTGGCTTATTTTATTTAGGAACTATATGGTACTGTTGCTCTTATTTCAGTTATGCACAAACCCTTCTCAGAATATAGTCTCTAGTTCTGAGCTACGCAGCTCAAGGTATGAGAGGGAATTTGGAGATCGTTCAGAGGCGACCTCTACCTGCTATGCTTAATCAAATAATTTCCGCCCCCACCTCACCCCTGCTATCTGTTTACATTCTAATAATGCTCCATTCTAATCTTGGAACTGAGTTGAGAGAGAAGGAAACAAGAAGTAACTAGATTTATGTGAAACATCTACTATCAACTTGATTCTTAATATTTGAGGATCTTTTTCTTTTAAAAGAAATACCAACTAAGTTCATCAAAGACCAATTAAGTGGAATTAATCTTCTAAAATTAGTGATTTCACCAATTCCTAGGTATTTTGAACATCGCAGGTCGCAGTGGAAGATTGAGCACAGGTCGGGTGCCTTGTAGAGGCAAGATTATTTCTAAAAGAGAGGTTGGCAGAGGAGCAAGGTGATGCTTTTCAGGTCATTAAAGTGAAGTGTTTACCTGTGATGTTGCCTGTGTTCCATTCAGGGTTCAGGTGGAGGCCTGAACCACTTTGGTCTAAAACCTAAGGCTTTAAAGAATCAGGCAACTGCTTGATGGGGTTATCTGCTCGGAGGCCTGGAGTTCTGTTTCTAGTCCAAGGTTCCTCAAAGATGGGTCTTAGCCACGTGTTTCAGAGCTACCTGGGGTGTTTGGTAAAAAAGAAGATTCTTGAACTCAGTCCTCAGACATTCTGATTCTGTTGGTGGAAAGGGACGCGAACCTGCAATTTTTATCATGTGCCTCCTGTTTAAGAAGCTCCTGTACGCACTGGAAGTGAGGGGGAGGGGAGGAGGGACCTGAAACACTGCAGGAGAATGAAGGCTTGGCAGCTTCTACTCTATTCTGTCTTAGTCAGTGGCAGACAGCTAGTGCACACTTAAAGGTAGGCAAGTCAGAAACCATGTCATTTAGGGACATCGTAGCGGTAGTGTGCTTGAAGTTTGAAACTAGGGTAGAATCTTGGTGGGGAAAATTTATGTAGTCAACATTTTTCTTGCTAATCTCTTCATGGTGAGTGTAGGAGAAAATGAGCAAGGATGAAAAATAGGTGCATACATTCAGTAAGATTAGTGGTTTTAAAGTGGGAGCAAAGTGCGTGTGGATGATTTTGCTTGAACAAGAGGTGGTGAGGAGAGATTCATGAAGATGACTCTTGTTTTTCCGAAGGTAATGACCAGATGATTAGTTCTGTCTCCAGTGGAGATGCTTCAACAGGAGAGTGGCTCCAGCAGCAAATTAGGGCACCTGTAAGAAAGAATGTCCTGAAACAAAGGCTATTAAACCTTGAGATAAACTACCACAGAATACCGAGATCTTCTCTTCTTAGACAATAAATTGTAAACTGTTGACAGTGACATTCCACAGCCAAAGGAAGGGACGTGCCAAATGAATTTTTAGATGCTATTTAGCTTTGTTTTAATAAAAACTTTACTTTAGGCATATTCAAAACCTTTGATAACTGTCTCATTAATATGTGGACATGCATTTGTTGTAAAAACGACAGTTTAGCTTCTTTGAACTTGCCATGACACTGGTCATTTTCTTTCTCTTGTAATACTCTGTTTCCATATAATATTAAGGAAAAATCAACTCAATATTTTAAATGTTTTATTGAAGAAATTACTGTATTAGGGGCCATGACAACCTTTGTTTATTCTTAGATGTTCAACTGATTACTCAGCCTCATTGTATTTAATATGGGCTGTCTTTAATATGGACTCGGCAGCTTTTTAATAGCGTCTTTCCTTAAACATCTGTAATGTGTCTTAACTGCTTTTATAGCCCATTTACATCATAGGCAGCCAACTTGTGGCCAAACTCAAAACCAAGAAGAGCAAGCTCGACCCTAATTTTGCTAGAAGTTATCACACTGATATATTTCAGATAAGATCAGTGGTAGGGGTTTGTACTTGCCATCTAACTCCTTTTTCTCCTTTCACTTTCATAGCAGTTTCCTATCCTAAGAGTAAACTTAGGGCTTCCTGAGCTGCTTTAGGAGTTGTATAGATTTGGGAATTCTGTGGAGATGCCAACAATGGATACTGAGGCCTGTCAGCAAGTCTCCTCAGTCAGAAGGGAGTGCTCAGCACCAACTTGCAGTACGCGGGCCTCTCACTGTTGTGGCCTCTCCCATCGAGGAGCACAGGCTCCAGACGCGCAGGCTCAGCGGCCATGGCTCACCGGCCCAGCCACTCCGCGGCATGTGGGATCTTCCCAGATCGGGGCACGAACCCGTGTCCCCTGCATCGGCAGGTGGACCCCCAACCACTGCGCCACCAGGGAAGCCCAGGAGGGACTCTTAGATGTGGGTTCCGTATTGTTCTGTAGCCTCGTGGTCCTCAGGCTCATATAAGCCAAGAGTCACCTTATGCAGCAAACCAAAGAAGAATGGGACCCAGAGTGGGGCTGGCAGAGGCACCAGACCCCTTTGGTTCCTACCACTTACCAAATGTGAATCAATGTAGACATGAAAATATCAGCCTCAGAACAGCCATTGTCTCTTTCTCTTTTCCACTGTCTCATCATCATTAAGGGAAAATTAGTGGTGGAGTTTTTAGTTTAGATGTCTTCAATTTTATGAAACCATGTATTGTTCTCTTTTAAAATAAAACTATTTTAATAATTTAAAATTTTCTCTCATGTATGATCCTGGTAATGTAAAATACACAGGTAAATGTTACTATTTTCTATTGACTACATCTAATGTCATGTCCTGATTTTACAAGTAGGATCAGATCCTAAAGCTATGCATTGTCAATTATTTACATTTATTCATTCATCAGTAAAATTTATTTGGTATAGTTGAAATTTTAATAAGTCCCATGTTTAATGTTGTTACATAATTTTTTGTTTAACTAGTTTATTAGGCTGTATTTAAAACTCCAAAATAGAGAATGACACATAGACATTGTTATTAGACATATTTTGATTCTTATGTTCTTTGAAAATCTCATGATTTTGGAATTTATAATTTTTTTGGCATTTTTTAATTGGACTATAGTTGATTTACAGCATTATGTTAGTTTCAGGTATACAGCAAAGTGATTCATTCAGGTGTACAACAAAGTGAATATATATATATATATATATATTCCTTTTCAGATTCTTTTCCATTATAGGTTATTACAAGACACTGAATATAGTGCCCTGCGCTATACAGTAAATCGCTGTTGCTTGTCTGTTTTACATATAGTCGTGTGAATCTGTTGCTCCCATACTCCTAATTTATCCCTCTCTTCCCCTTTCCCCTTGGTAACCATAAGTTTCTTGTCTACATCTGTGAGCCTGTTTCTATTTTGTATATAGATTCATTTGTATCATTTTTTAGATTCCACATATAAGTAATATCATATAATATCTGTTTTTGTCTGTATGATTTACTTAGTATGATAATCTCTAGGTCCATCCATGTTGCTGCAAATGGCAAATATTTCATTCTTTTCGATGGCTAATATTCAATTGTGTATATGTGCCACATCTTCTTTATCCATTCATCTGTTGACGGACACTTAGGTTGCTTCCATGTCTTGGTTATTGTAAAAAGTGCTGCTGTGAACATTGGGGTGCATGTATCTTTTTGAATTAGAGTTTTCATCTTTTCCAGATATGTGCCCAGGAATGGGATTGCAGGATCATGTGATAGCTCTATTTTTAGTGTTTTAAGGAACCTCCATACTGTTTTCCATAGTGGCTGCACCAATTTCCATTCCCACCAACAGTGTAGGAGGGGTCCCTTTTCTCCATACCCTCTCAAGCATTTGTTATTCGTAAAACTTTTTTTTTTTTTTTTTTGTGGTACACGGGCCTCTCACCACCGTGGCCTCTCCCGTTGCGGAGCACAGGCTCCAGACGCGCAGGCCCAGCGGCCATGGCTCACGGGCCTAGGCGTTCCACGGCACGTGGGATCTTCCTGGACCGGGGCACGAACCCGTGTCCCCTGCATTGGCAGGCGGACTCTCAACCACTGCGCCACCAGGGAAGCCCTTTATTTGTAAACTTTTTGATCATGGCTCTTCTGACTGGTGTGAGGTGATACCTCATTGTAGTTTTCATTTGCATTTCTCTAATAGTTAGCGATGTTGAGTATCTTTTTATGTGCCTGTTGGCCATCTGTATGTCTTCTTTAGAGAAATGCCTATTTAGGTCTTCTGATTTTAGAATTTATAATCTGTAGAAAACTTATTTGTTTTAATTTCAGTTTTTAGAAAATTCACAATTATAATAAGGCTAGCTTAGCTCAGAAATTGCTAAGAAAAGCAATGGTTAGAAAACATTTTAGCTTTTTCAAGGGCAAAATCTGAATTGTAGGGTCACTTGGCTTGTATATGATGAAGTTTGGATCCAGGAAAGAGGACTTGAGTAAGTGATGATTGATCATTATTCATTTATTCCCATATTATAGTAGCACACTTTGTAAACAGTGATTTTTAGTTTTGAGAGTCTTGATCATTTTTTTTCTTATTAGAAGAAGGATTGGTCTACTGAGAAACCATTTTAATTCCCGTAAACGTGTTTTTTTTTTTTTTTTTGATTACATAAGATACACATTTCTTTAGTTTATTTAAGGGATGAATTTCTCTGATGCTCATGCTTGTTTACCTTATCTTTTTTGTTGAGCTTAACATTTTAACATAATTTTATTATCAATTTTAAACTGAATATTATCCTACCACTGAAATAAACATGGAGTGTATCAAAAATTTAATTGTGCATTTTGATTAGATGAAAAATATTATATTAATATAATTGTCAAACTTCATTTATATTCCATGATATATCTGTTATATTTTTCAAAAATATCTCTAGACCAGGTGAGCCACGTTCGATACTAGATATTCAGGTGGAATCTCTTTTAAATTCAATTTAAAACCCATATACTTATTATTTATGATCTACTTTAAAACCTAGAAATCAGTCTGGACACATCCCTCTCCCTCACTCCTTATATCCATTCCAGGAATAAATCCTGTTCATTTACCTCTTCAGTGTTTCAAAAATTCCTGTACTTCTCTTCTTGTCCTCCACCCAGCCTCTGTTCAAGCTACCATTACCTCTTGTCTTGACTTTGCATTAATCTCTAACCAGCTCCCTGAGCCCACTTTTGGTTTTCTCCAATCTGCTTTACACTGCTCTTCATAGTAGTGTTTGCCATCACCAAAGCTGACTTTATCACTCTTTTAAAATCTTTCCACGACTTTCATGGTTTTCATAGGATAAGGACCACAGTCCCTAGAACGGCCTTCAGAGCCCATTTATACCTCTCCAGGTTCACAGGCGCTTAAATGGCACAAAGACAAGGGCCTTGTCTGTTTTTGCCCATTGTTGGATCTCTGGTGAGAAAATTCATGAGTAAGAGAACCTCAAGGGTCAGTTTTTATCTTTTACCTCTAGGGCTTGCTGCTGTATTTATTTACATATGTGACTCTTTTGTTTTAAAGGTGGCAGTTCTCATTCCTTTCCGTAATCGCCATGAACATCTTCCAATTTTTTTCTTGCATCTGATTCCAATGCTCCAAAAACAGCGGCTGGAATTTGCCTTTTATGTCATTGAACAGGTGAGAATATTTTTCAAAATGGTAACTAGGTATACTAGAACGTAGTAAACTCTTAGATACTGTGTAATTAAAAGTGTGTAGTTTAAGGTTAATCCTTGGTTTTATATTTGGGTAAAATTCCATTTTGGATTGAGCCTGTTAATTGTGTATACCACATTTTGTTAATCCTTTTATCAGTTGATGTGTTCCTGTCATTTTAAATCATCTAATGTCTTACCTATTAAAGTGAAATATATATATATATATATATAATTATTCATACTATCAGCTATTTTTTTCTCTGTAAATACTTTAATATCAGTATTCCGTATGTACAGTTTCTTTCAGACTTATTTAAACCCTTTGGAGATATTTTCTGTACTTCTATGTTTTTCTACTTCTGTCATCACCTGCTTTTGTACTTAAGGTGTCATCTTGGATTTCTTCCTTGGTCTCTCCCCAGCCCCACTTCCCAAACACTAGGGTCCTTGCTGAATTTTGTCACTGATTGCTATATAGTATTTCTTTTTTTTTTTTGGCAGTACACGGGCTTGGTGCCCATACATTTGTTCTCTATATCTGTGTCTCTATTTCTGCCCTGAAAACAGGTTCATCTGTACCATTTTCCTAGGTTCCACATATATGTGTTAATATAAGATATCTTTTGTTCTCTTTCTTTCTTTCTTTCTTTTTTTGGTGATACACGGGCTTCTCATTGCTGTGGCCTCTCCCGTTGCGGAGCACAGGCTCCAGACGCGCAGGCTCAGCGGCCATGGCTCACGGGCCCAGCCGCTCCGCGGCATGTGGGATCCTCCCGGACCGGGACACAAACCCACATCCCCTGCATCGGCAGGCAGACTCTCAACCACTGTGCCACCAGGGAAGCCCCGCCTCTGTTTTTAAAGGCATTTTCTCCTGCGAGTCCACACCACTGAGTTATTTTGTGTATGTGATGAAGAAGTCTGCAGAGCAGCTAAGGTCCATATTTTATAAACGTCTTAAGTCTGAATCTTAGCCTTGATCAATATTAATTCAGGCCTGTATGTTTGATAGTGTGTTGTGGTTTTGAGCTAGTAACATCTTTACCACATATGAAATAGAAGAGTCATTTTCCTGCTGGACTGGTGCCAGAAGGGCTAAGCCTTTGACGAGCAGCTCAGAACTCCCAGTTATATATAGAAGGGGGTACAACATATTTCCCTCTTTTCCTTTCCAGACTCCTAAAATGAATGAAAGAAAACAACTTTTAATGAGTTATTAAACTATAAAGACAAAGAGATGGAAGTAGTTGAGCGATCTCAGCCCGTCTCTGGGAGTCAAGAGGCAGGTGGAGCACGGACACGCCCTCCCTTAGCCCAGCACAGGGGGCTCAGACCCATGTGCTGTCAAGGAGGATGGTGACAAGGATTGAGTCTGTCTACTGGACAAAGCCCCCCTGCACATCTCAGCCCTTGAAAGACGAACTGAAGCACTGGGCTAAACTAAGGGATTGTTTAAAAGTTTGATTGCAGAACAGTCAGATCCCTAGTTTCTTAAGTTGGCTTGTGCTGCCAGGTGATTGCTCTGTTGTATCTTGTAGAAAATGAAAAGTTTCTCCTCGGAGAAACCAGCGTGGGTCCTGCCGGTGCTGGTGCAGCCGAACTCTGGCACCTCAGAGTTGCCTGCGGACCCCAAGCGCCCTCGGTCCTTCTCCTTGCCTGGCAGTTTGAAGCCAGTCGTTGGGTGTGAATCCCCCCAACCCCTTCAGCTGAGGTAGGGCGTGAGTGGCCTCTTCACTAGAAGTAGCTTAGCCCCAGGGAGACGATGCCTGGTCTAATGTTGGGAAGTCTCCAGAGGAAGAGGCCAGTTCCTCACTTTATCACCTCCATGAAGCCCGCTTTCATTCATTCAAGAAAGGGGAGACAGCAGGGGACAAGCCAGGTGAGGCCTCTCATTCTCTTGAGGGAAGGAGGGCAGTAAATAATCACGTGGTATGTCAGGTGGTGCCCGGAGCTAAGAGTCGGTAGGGGCAGGGAGATGTGCTCTTTCCGTCAGAGTGTTTACAGAACGCTCTCGGAGGAGGTGAGGTGGGAGCGGCCCTGAACAAAGGAGCAGCCCATGCTGATGTTCGGGGATGTGTGTTCCAGGCAGGGCAGGAGATCGCATGGTGTGTTTGTGCAAAGTGGTCAGTGTTGCTGGAGTGACAAGTGAAGAAAGACATGAGGGAGGAAATCATAGGCGGGAGAGACGCAGGTAATGAAGAACCTGGGGAAGGGGCTTCCCTGGTGGCGCAGTGGTTGAGAGTCCGCCTGCCGATGCAGGGGAGGCGGGTTCGTGCCCCGGTCCAGAAAGATCCCACATGCCGCAGAGCAGCTGGGCCCGTGAGCCATGGCCGCTGAGCCTGCGCGTCTGGAGCCTGTGCTCCGCAACGGGAGAGGCCACAACAGTGAGGGGCCCACATACAGCAAAAAAAAAAAAACCTGGGGGAGGACTTGGGTTGTCCCGCGGAAGGTGAGAAGGTGCTGGAGGCTTCTGAGTAGAGGAATGGTGTGATCTAATGGTCTTTGGAGAAGATGACGGTGCGGAGAGTAGACTGAGCGGGAGCTTCTGCCGCGGGCCAGGCAGCAGAAGATGCTGACTCGGGCTACGGTGGTGTTGGAGGGAGGTGAGCAGTGGCTGGGTTTGGGCTACCTTGGGTTTAGAAGTCAGATTATTTGCTGTTGAAGTGGATGTCCGTTGTGAGCAACGGAGAATGGTCAACCAGGATGCAGGGTTTTTGTCTTGAAGGAGGGTGTTGCCGTTTTCTGAGCTATGGCACACAGAGTGCTGGCGAGGAGGGTTGGGGCTTCTGTTTCTGTTTCAGTTTGGCTTAGGGATTTGCTCGTGCACATGCGTGTGCGTGTGTGGTGTGTGTGCAGCCAAGAGTGCTGTGCCACAACCTCACATACGTATGTGGAGGTTCCCCTCAGCTTTTTAGTGCTTTGCTCTCAACCGTGAATGGACGGCGAAGGGTTCCCACAAAAGGAGACAACACCAATCCAACAAAAGGGATTATAGAAAATATAGACAGTGGAGGGAACAGAGAACATTTTTTAAAAAAATGAACAGTAATAAAAACTCATAATCACTATCCACAGAGAGTGAAGGAAAGATAATGCATCTGTGAAATGAAAACACCATAAAGAACAATCAGAATAAGAAAGTTATCATAAAAGAAAGTGTGATAAGTAAAACAAAACTTTCAATAGAATGGCTGGAAGATAAACTTAAGAAGATAACTCCTAAACTAGAACCAAAGCAGGAGAAATTAAGAAGTATCAATGCCTCACAGGGGTAACCACCTCCAAGGTGGTCCCCAGGGATCCTTGCCTCCTTGTATGGTCTCCTGCCACAACGAATAAGGGCTGACTTGTGTGGACAACCACACTGCAGAGTGACAGTGTGTGATTTTTTAAGCTAGGTCATAAAAGACATTGCCGCTTCTGCTTTGGTCTGTTGGATCACTTGCTCCTGGGGAAGCCAGCTGCCATGTCATGAGGACACTCAAGCAGCCCTGTGGAGAACTGACTTGCCAGCGTCATCTTGCTGGCTGTGTGACTGAGTCCTCTTGGAAGTGGATCTGCCAGCTGACGCCCAGACATCATGGAGCAGTGATCAGGGATCTTTGCCGTGCTGTCAGAATTTCCTATCACAGGTGCTTTGAGCATAATAAAGGACTGTGGTTTTATTAGCCACTAGTTTTGCTGTGATTTGTTAACACATCAGTAGATAACAAATACACTTGCTAATCAGAGTTCTGAAAAAATATAGCAGGAAAAAAACGGGGTTGGGGTGGAGTAAAATGACCAAAGAAATAATATAAGAATATTTTCCAGAAGCAAAGACATGAGTCTTCAGATTAAAGGGGTCCACATGTACACATGAATAAAATATAGAGCTTTAAAGCATATTATTTTGAAACTTTAGAATGCAAATTAAAAAGGGAAGGTATCAAAAAGGTTCTGTAGGAAAAATTACCAGTGATTATGTATCAGAATCATATGAACCTTCTCAGCAGTGCTGATACCTAGAAGATTGTGGAGCCACATGTCGTTAAAATTCTAGGAGAAAGTAATTCTTTTTTTTTTCCCTGGTACGCGGGCCTTTCACTGTTGTGGCCTCTCCCGCCGCGGAGCACAGGCTCCAGACGCGCAGGCCTAGCGGCCATGGCTCACGGGCCCAGCAGCTCCGCGGCATGTGGGATCCTCCTGGACTGGGGCACGAACCCGCATTGGCAGGTGGACTCCCAACCACTGCGCCATCAGGGAAGCCCCGGGGAAAGTAATTCTTAACGTAGAATTTTTTACCCAGTCAGAATATCAATCAAGTGTGAGGGTAGATTGATGGCATTTTCAGTCATTCATTGGCTAAAATATATATATATATATGTATAATATCCATGTGTGTGTGTATATATGTAGAGATATATATATATATATATATATTTTTTTTTTTTTTTTTCCTCCTGTGGATCCTGAGATAGGAAGCTGCTGAAGGATGTTCCTCAGTAAATTGAGAGAGCCAAGTAAAGGACACCGATGATGTAGGGAATGAAAGAGGAGGCCCAGGATGATAGTTGCACATGGTCAGACCAGTCAAGACTGGAGCAAGACGCGAGGGCCATGGCAGCTGGAGTTGGGCTTGGGGGGCGGGTGGAGGAGGAATCGATAAATGGTTTGATGTGTTTCAATGATTGCATCAGTTATTAAAAAATACAGGGCATGCCTGCTGGGGCTTTTGTACAAAGTAATACTAGTTATATAGAAAAGTAAGAAAACAGAAGACAGTTATAAATCTCAGTTTGAGAAAGAAAACAATCATAATTTACTCAACAGTCATATATATGCAGTCATAATAATGCAAATACCGTTGACTTAACAAAAAATTATGACATAACTCTGTTGGGAGAATGGATGGAGGGACAGTGAATGGGGGGGTATAAATCCTCAATGACCATGGTAAGAAATCAGTAGTGTCTAAAAAGTTAATGAGGCAAGGGGATATCAAAACTTTCATTACCTTGAAATGAGGAGATAAGTACCAGAATAAACTACTAGAGGTGTGTAAATGTATTGCTTTTGGAAGATGAAGGTGGGTTAGACATAAAACTTCTTATTTTTATTATAAGCCATTAAGTATTATGTGCACATTTAATGAAAACAGTTTTTTAAATCTTAAAGGAAAGTCATTTGTTCAAACTGTTGATGTACCAGTAATAATATTATAATTTAACTGCCTTTCCTTTTTATTCTCCCATTTCATTGGTGAGGGAAAGCTGTAAAAAGTAAAGTGATTTCTATTACCTCAAGTTAGTGCAGGACCCAGGACTAAAAATTAGTTATTTTTTACTTTTGAGGGCACACTCTGGTGATGACTACACTGTGCATCTCAGTCACTTCTTTCATAATCCTTTTTTGTTTTTTTTTGTTTTGGAAATGATTTTGAGAAATATTGCCAAGGCATAGGTAAATTGCTCTTTAATTTTCTTTAGCTGTAGCATGAAACCTTTTATTGCCAATGCACCTTAATATAATTTTCCTCATAAGTAAAGGGAAGTGGTCATTATATAGGAAGTTGGGTTCTGTGTAATAAGTTCCCACTTTTTTGTCCCTTCAAATGCTCTTGGTCTTTATCATAAACAAGCATAATAAAAATAGAAACTGTTGTCTGGACACTTTATTTTCCCTAGTAATAAAGGGAAATGGTTATAATAAAGGAAATTGGGCTTTGTGTAATAAGTTCCAATTGTTTTTGTCTCTGAGAATGCCTTTGTCTCTATTACAAGCATTAGTAATACAAAGTTAGCCGTCCCTGGCCTTGTTATGTAAGAGAAAGGTTACTGCTTCTTGAGTCACTTTGTTTCCTGCTTCTTTTAGTCTGGACACCATATGGAAAGCTTTGCTAAAAAATACAACCTGTATTATTTTCAATGGCTTTATTTTTTTTCCTGGTCATAAATAATCTATATTCTGATACATTTGAAGTAAAACAGAAGTGTGAATTATATCATTATATAAATTTGATGATCTACCAGTGGCCCTTATAATAACAGTATTTTCTTGTGTGTTACCAAAGTATAAAAGTATGTAATAATTTAAATAGTATATTTGAAAATCCTGAAACATGTTTATTATTTTATCAATTTGGTTTGTATGTATTTATTATTAGTATTTGACCATGATTCAACAAGTTATAAAGGTATAGAAAAAAGTCATGGCAAAGCCTGAGTACATTTCTGTTTTTCTCTTTGTGAAGACTGGCACACAGCCTTTTAACCGTGCAATGCTCTTCAATGTGGGCTTCAAAGAGGCCATGAAAGACAGTGTCTGGGACTGTGTAATCTTCCACGATGTGGATCATCTACCTGAAAATGACCGAAACTATTACGGATGTGGAGAAATGCCACGTCACTTTGCAGCCAAGCTGGATAAATACATGTATATGTAAGTAATGTACACTCTTCTTTTGCAGCACACCTGCAAAATCATATCATTGAAATGGTAGCAGCCTTATGTGCCTGGATCTGAGAGGGCTCAAGAGCCTAGAGAGTATCTTTAACTCCAGCCCGTCCTCGCAGGGAGCCGGGATGTAGGGTCGCTTGTGGTCCATCCAGTCGCTTCCTCACACACAGGTTTCAGTGTGGGGTGGTGGGAAATAGAGCCTGGTTTCGACGGTCAAGGAAATGTGGACGTAACTTCTGATTTTCACGCTTAGCAGTTAGAGGGCTTGGATTTGCATCTTAGGACTTGGATCTCTGAACATTGGTTTCCTTGTTCAGGGAGCACTAGAGCCCATCCGCGGGTTCTGCGAGATCCCAGGCGCTGGGCTGCCCTAGGTAGGAGCACAGCACAGGTTGGCTCCCCTCTCTTCCCTCCCCCAGGGTTGTTCCCGTGCAGTGAAGGCCCGCTCTTCTGCGGTATATTTTCTTCTTCCTAAGCTATGGATTCTTGACCTGCCTTTAATAAGAAGAAACATTTTTTCGTTCTCTGCCTGGAGATGCCTTGAAATGATACTGTCATCGGAGCTGTGACAGTGACTTAAATTGACATTAAAGGTCTAATTTGGGAAAGAGATCACAGTTTTCATTGACTCATGGAAGTGGAGAGGAGAGAAAATAGCCTGGAGCAGGGGAGGTGTTGCCTTCATCACTGTTTTGCCTGCTGCCTCACCCGTCGAGTTAGAGAAGCAAAAAGCCTCAGTGATGAGACCAGGTGAATTAGCGCTGAAACAGGAAGAGTGCCTTTTTTTTGTTTTTTGGTTTTTTTTAGACTGGTTGTTATCATTAGAAAACCTTTTCCTTGTTACCATAGTATCTGAAAGCCAAGTCTGGCGTTACCTTGGGAAGGTCATCCAGGTTCAGGGTCTGATTCTTAGCACTTCTAGAAACTCAATTTTAGTCAGCCCACTAGAGTCAAATTAAATTTAGCATAATTGATTTTTACTAAAAGATATCATAAATGTCATATAAACTAGGGATTCTAAATTAATTTTTTATTTGAAAATATTAATTTCTAATCAGTAAAATATTCATATCTACCTAGACTAATCCCAGGGTGCATAGGGTATCTTGGAAGTTGGAATAGAAATGAGAGAGAATGGCAGCAGAGCAGGGAACGGGCCGGACAGTGCATGGGCTGAAGTGTGATGAGGTGTCCCTGCCCACAGTGGTGCCCACGCCGTGAAGGCTGCTGACCAGAAAGCTCAGGTCCCCAGAGCAGTGTCTCTCTCCCTTTGGACAGTGTCAGGTAAACACTACTAGATTTGTGTTTGTCAAGCTTCCGTTTTCTGTTCTTTATCTATTACACCTTCATTTTATCTAATCTTTTTCTATTCTGGGTATAGTGCAGTTGATTGTTTCTGCTTTTAAGCAGAACGCTAAATGGAATTAACGTGCTTGGCAATTTATACATGTCAGTGAACACACACACACACTTATCCATTTTTACCTATCTACTGATTTCAGGTTTCTCCCAAACCACTAGCCTGGGCAAGCATAATGCAACTGATGTGGGAAACACAGTGGTGCCATGAGTGCTTATTGGCCCTATTGGACCCCAACTGGTATCATAACTAGAATCTAACTTCCCCAGTGCAAGCCTCGTGAGGTACCCTGGTACACCGTGGTAGACTTTGGGGTCAGTATTGCTGTTACTGTCTTGGGGTGCCTTTGGCCCAGTGTGGGACCAGGATTGCTTTGTCCTGCAGCCTGGAGTTCTCTGTGGGAGCTGCCTCTCTCATCTTCTGTGGCCACACAAGGTCCCAGCTGGCACACAGCACTTCCTCCCTGCAGAGAGTGAATCCAGAGTCCTTCCAACAAAAAAGTGAAATCTGCCCCCTCTCTTCCTCTGAGGCAGCTTTGCTTTAGTCCTGGCCAGACTTCCCTCAGCGTGATTTTCAGAGGCTGCGTGTGGTCGTGTTTTCTCTGCTGTTCCTCCACATTGGCCTCGTCCATTCAGGGGCTCTGGCACGTGGCTCCCCAGTAGCACATTTAGGGCCACAGGAATTTATTCAGGACTGCAAGTCTCGGGATGCTGCCTCAACATCAGAAAACCTGTCTGTTTCTAAACAAACAACTTTCACAAATTCCATGGAGGATGAGTTAGAGAAAGGTAAGGAAAATAAAATCCAGATTTAAAAATATAGTCATTTCTCAGAGAAAGGCAAGTACTGTATGATCTCACTTATATGCAGAATCGAAAAAAAAAAAACCCCGAACTTGTAGATAAAGAGAACAGATTTTTGTTGCCAGAGGCAGGGGTTGGGGGTGGATGAAGGGGATCAACAGGTACAAAATTCTAGTTATAAGACAAGTCCTGGGATGTAATGTATAACATGGTGACTCTAGGTAACAAATACTGTACTGTATACTTGAGAGTTGCTAAGAGAATAGCTCTTGAAAGCTCTCATCATGAGAAAAAAGTAGCTATGCATGGTGATGGATGTTAACCAGACATATTGTGGTAATTGTTTTGCAATATATACATATATCAAATCATTATGTTGTACACCTGAAACTAATACAGGGTCAATTACATCTCAAAAAATTGTCATTCTTCTAACTATTAGTGCATTAAAAATAAATATATTTGTAAATATCCACGAATATTTTGGGAGTGTAGTCCAAATAGAGAAGATCATTACAGGAATAGGCAGCTAGCTTTTTCAAAATTAAATGCTAGACTTGTATTTACTAATTTATATTTATCCTAGTCTATATGATAAATAATGTGTTTAATAAATTAAGATCAGTTAATTTAGGAAATTAGCTTAGTAACATCTAACATTGCCTTAGCAGCTATTGATCAAGTCTACTTTTGGTGTGAAAGTAGACCATTTTTGAACGCTAGGTTTTGAGTCTTACAAAGTAACAATACTAAATATTAAATTTCAGTTACCACACGTGTTTTGCGTAACACAGTTAGATGTCCTTGTTCCACTAGAGTGTAAAGATGTTTTGTTTCTTGATGTACTTTACTTTTCCCAGAATATGATTTAATCAACATAATTGTTTATATGGAAGTAGGGGTATATTTTGCAAAGCATGTCAAAGACTGAAAACTCGATTTCATATGGCAAACAGTTTTGATTTCATTTTTAGAATGCTGTATTCTGCTTTCTTTTGTAGTCTTCCTTATAAAGAGTTTTTTGGCGGCGTAAGTGGACTGACAGTGGAACAGTTCAGAAAGATCAATGGTTTTCCTAACGCCTTCTGGGGATGGGGAGGAGAAGACGATGACCTCTGGAACAGGTATGTTGAGGTGCAAATTGCTTAATAATGGAATTTCTGTACATTTCCTGTCTGTTAAGTAAACTGTGCTTTTCTATTCCAGGAAAGGATTCTTTGGGGTGGAAAATTGTTGAGGTTCCTAAATCCTGTGTTGTGTTTCTCCCTTTTTTATTGAGAGTAGTACCCTTTTGAAATTACTGACAGCGTGTACATTAGAGCACTCTTTTGCATTTTAAGTTGAACCCACATGATCTATTTTTATGTTAGATTTTATTTCTTAATGTATTTTCATTTCTGTATGTCGTGTTGTAGGGTTCACTATGCTGGATATAATGTAACAAGACCAGAGGGGGACCTGGGAAAATACAAGTCTATTCCTCATCACCATCGAGGTGAAGTCCAGTTCTTAGGACGGTAAGTTTAATATCATCTTTAGATATCAAGGTTTCAGAATTATTTAATTATGAAAGATTTTTGTAAAAATGCATGGCACTCCCCACAAAAAACTTCTGAAGAGAATTTTCTGTCGATATCATTTTTGTTGATAAAAGTAGAGCATTTTGTGCTTGTTTTGAAGAGATATACGTATACATGTACCTACGTACACACACACATATATGTATTCATGTACTATTAAAGAGTCCAGTTAATTATTTATGTAAAAATGTTTCCTTAACATAAAGCATAATGCATTTTATTTCTTAAGGATATCTAATGTGTAAGAGTGCAAAATAACTTTTTTTCAGGTAGCATTTTAAGACTAGTAAAAATGTTAATTTAGAATAATGGTCTAGAAAGATTTTTAATTATGCGTAAGAACCAAAAATTGTAAAGAGCTCTAAGCGCCTTAATGATAAGAATGACCTTGAGCGTATTCCTCATCAATTTTTCTTTTCAAACATGTTTCTGTTACTTTTAATTTTTTTCTCTAACGCTATAGGTATAAATTACTAAGATACTCAAAAGAGCGCCAGTACATCGATGGGTTGAACAATTTAGTATATACGCCAAAAATACTGGTTGATAGGTTGTATACAAATATATCTGTAAACCTCATGCCAGAGTTAGCTCCAGTTGAAGACTATTAAAAGAAGTAACTCTCCTGGCAAGAGAGACCACAGTGCTGGATCGGGGACTTGGAGTGCACTCTTAATGGAGGTCAGTGAATGGATGTGCCACAGTGCCCTGGGTGGTGAGAAGAAGAGCCTGTGTTCTCAGTGTTTACTTGTGGGATTGTATACAGTCACCCTTCTTCCACCCACCCATCCTCTATCCTGAGACACACCCCATGGTGAGCACTGCAGAGACCAGATGCTGTTGCTTAAGTCTGGCAGTCAAGAGAGCTCCCTACAAAGAGAAAATTTTTATACTAAGATCTATAATTTAATTCAAGAGAATGCTTTATTTCCATTTAAACATATTTTGTACATATGTGATATAAATTAATGTGTTCAAATTGCTGAGAAACAAGATGTGTTGGCAGTTTTGCATGTAATGGGTTATGCCTTTATGGGACTTTTATAAACATTTTTTTATTTGCATGGAATAAAACAATGTAAGTTTATGTCAGTAAACAAAGGTTAACCTTGTGTGAAATGAAGGAACTGTCAATAATTGACAGCCAACTAATACAGTCACTGTTATACTAGTTTTGAGCTTTATACCGTCAGCTTTTTGTGTGGATGAAATCACAGCTTCCTTAGGGTTTTAAAGGGTAAGAAGAAGGGACTTAGCTTTTCTTCCTACGGAGGATTACCTCTTTCTTCCCCCCTTGCTTGCAATCTCATCGGATTTTGCTAAACCACAACCATATTGTTTGTGTATATTGCATGAGTATTACCAAGAAAATCTTAAAAGTTATGATGTGACATGATTTAAAGGACCTCTTTATGTTAAACGTCTCTCATGTACCTCTGGTGTAAGTGTCAGGGATTTTGTGCCTCAAAAAATGTTCCCAAGGTTGCGTGTGGTTGTACACTGTATTTTTTTGAATTCATAGTGAGCAGTGCTTTTATTATTTCTAGTTCAGAAGAGCCAAAAAAAAAAAATCTTCATTTAAAAAAAGCAAAAGAGTTTTGTAAAAGATTGAGTTATGGAAAACCCAGTAGTACTTAAAATATACAAATGAATTATACTATTAGGTAAGAAATTAAATGTTCTATTTTTATGAAGATAAATGCTTAGTAGATAAAAACAAATTTTAAGTTTGATTATTAGACTCATAGGATTTCAAGTTTGGAAGGGATCCTTTTTAATGTTGGCCAATTTCATTCAAACTACATGTATTTTTTTCACTTTTAAGATATCACATCTCTGGTGTTAATTTCCTCACAAAAGCATAAATTAATGATTGAATTAAAATACATTATCAGTTATTTAAATGCATTGGTGTTAATAAGACACTTCTCTAAAACCAGGTTTCTCTCCCTGACATCAAGTATATTACTTACTCTTAAATTTGGATGGCATTTTCATAGCAAAACCAAACAGTATCTTTACTTTGAAAATTATCAACTATGGTTAACCAAAGATTCTTTAAAATATCTTAAGATATTTTCACAAATTTAAAACAAAAAATTAAATATCTATAAAGTGAATCTTCAAGAACATGAGGAACAATAGAAATGGATTATTCATCTAACACAGAAATATGGTTATTTATCTCTCAGGTTGTAAATTTAATTTTGAAGTTGTCATTTTCTATGGCAAATATTAGTAATACAAATGACCACAAACCAAATCATAAAATAACTGAAATTCTTACACTTTGAGAAAACTGGTAGCTCTCGGTTATGATACCAAGCAGAATTTTTCTTCATTTATTTCTTAGAAATATTTCCAAGATATTTGTTTTTCATTTCTTTGCTGGTAACTCAGAATAATGAAAAATCAAACCTTCTGAAAAGCAAGGTATTTGTTCTTTTTTTTTTTTTTTTTTTTTTT